GTGAGATTCGAACCCGTTTCTCATGGTTAGAAAGCGAACGTTCTAACCACTCGCCCAACATATATCTATACAGTTATAAATACACACATAAATACAGAGAGAGCGAGAAACCCTAGTACATTGGCGGCCCTTTAGTCAATAAATTGAAAATGCATGTGCAACCTTCAAACTAGTCACTATGGCCGACGTTGCTCAATTAGTAGTTCGCTGTACTAATAAATGAATGGAATCTAAAGGCCACCATTTTTAGCAACTCTTGTGCTTGTAGAGTCCAAAGATAACTTGTAATAATCTCGTGATGTATGAATAAATTTAGTATTACAATATCTATACAATATATGAATAAAATACAGATCAAACATGGACCAGATCAGACGACATGATACGATAAAGAACAAAGAGGAAACGTTTGTCAATCTGACATGCTTCACTTATATTAAAGAATGATATATGGAGGAAAAGAAGAAATTACGGTGTTTTACTTTTGTGTTTTTCTTATTTTCCTTTTCTCAATCACGTTTCCCATGCATTAGACTCTTTTAAAACAACGTTAGTATTATTTGTGGCGTTTTGAATTTAAAGAGAGACGATGCCCCCGTCAGAAGTTTCAAGAAATTAGCAGATAAGCCGACTAGAAAAAACTGTAAATATTGCTATATGTATGTTAGTGCATAGAAACTTTACTTTTTCTATGTGGGAATCAGATGATTATATATATATATATATATATATATATATATATATATATATATATATATATATATATGTGAAAATATATAGAAAATAGGAAGGAACTGGTTAGGTAAATAATCCAAAGTCCCTCAGTATTTTAGTTATTATTTTAAAAAAATAGTGCTCGATACAAAAGTAGAGCATAAATATAATTATTTATTTAAAAATATGATTCCAAAACGCGACATAAGAAGTCTCATGTTTCAAAACAAGTGCCGATAACTTCAATAAAATTATTTGAATTAAATTGAGTTAAAGTGAGCTCTGTTTCATCTTCAAGCGAAATTTTTTTTTTGGATTTCGCTTGAAGATGGAACAGACCTTACTTTATTTTTTTTTATATAAATAATGATATATATATATATATATATATATATATATATATATATATATATATATGAATCCTCCTCTTCTTCCTCCAGCTATAGGTAAATAGCAGGACAGACTGGTTTCTATAGCCTTGGATGGCAACTGGTCTAGGAGAAGGACAACTCTGAATTCAAAACGTGTCGAGAGTCGTTTAGGCACCAGGTGTTTGTATTCGGCCCTTCAAAAGTGTGGCTGGTCCTGCACGAAGCCTTCACCACTATAATCAAAACTCATGTGCTGTTGTCGGGTGTCGGTTTCCTGGGAACTGATCTGCTTTGACCTCATACGTCGAATTCGATGGGAGAGTCGCCTATATATATATATATATATATATATATATATATTACCGTTTGTTATAGATAAACACACGTTAGATTCTTTAAGAACAGGTTCAATAAAGGTTGGCGATGTAATGTAATGTTTTTGACATATGTGTTTATCGTTTGCAATAACTTTATTAGCAGTCTCTCGCAGTATTTTTTCTTTAGGGAATTATGTTCTGCTTTTAATTAGGGTGGCATTAGTAAAAATTGGAATTATGACCAGTTTCGTTCCTTTGTCTTACGAGTTAGTTTGAATGGTTCTCTAAACATCTCTGATGTCTCCAGGATATATTTTTTACGTCGTAAACAATTTATTTGTAAGTAGCGGTATTTGAATTGATAATGAATTGTTTTTCTTCCTTATTATATCTCCGTTTGTTTTGGACTTGGCGGTAAAGATCTTAGTATTAGGGATAGATAATTCATTTTCTAGTAGAAAGCGTGTTAGAGGGTAAGATTATGAATTTTGTGTTGTTTTATTTGTAAGGAGTGCTATTGGCGGTGTCTAGTATGGGGGATTTGTACATTTTGTAAGTATGATTAAGGATGAAATGATGTAGGTAGTGAAGGAATCTAAATGTCTTCTCTTGTTCACTTCACAGTATTCTGCGATAATTATCCTAAGGGTTCTGATGTAAAATCTTTGGCTAAACCTGATTTTATTTTTTTGATTATGGTGAGAATAGAAATGAATTAGATCGCTTTTGTTATTGCCTTACGATAATCTTTAAAGTAAAAGTTTTTTTATTTTTACCTATTAATAAGATGTAAGAGAAAGGTAGATATTTATTTATTTCAAATTCATATGTAAATTCGATTGTAGGATCAACCGTATTCGGTTTCATTATTATGATTAATATATTTGTATTATGAAGATCTATTAAAAGAACGTCATCAATGTATCTTAGGTAAGTAGAAGTTTTAGGTATGGTATGCTAAAATGTACCGGACTCTAAAAATTCTAGGAAAGGACAAACAAGAATCACATCAATAGCTGCCTCCATAAGTAAAACAAATTTTTGCTTATAGAAATGATTATTGTAAGAGACGAGAAAGTGCTTCGTCATTAATTTATATTTAATTTTATGGACAGTTAGAAGACGCTTTACTTCGGATATTTTGAGTTGGTTTTTCAATATGCAGCGCAAGTATATTTGCTTATGAGGAGGTGGAGTAAATGATAGCGGCTCGGATTGAGGAATTGGGGAGCAGAGTTCGATTTCCAGTCGAATCCATTGCATTCACTTACGTGCTAATACCCTTTGAAAAGGTACGACTATTCTCCCCTTAGCTTTTGGTAAATAGCAGGACACATCGGGTTCTGTAGCCTTGGATGACAACTGGTCTTCTAATTCGAAGAAAGCCGGAGCGTAAAACGGCGGAACGTCGAGAATATGACACTAAAGATGAAGGAATAATCCAAAAAAATATAAATAGTTCAAATAATCTAGGATGTGTTTTCGTTTTTAATTACTTCTTAATTGTTAAGTCGAATTTTTGTGTGTCTATATTTACGGATTGCTCGTTGGTTTTTAAGAAAGTGTTGTCATCATTTTAGAGGGATATTGATTTTTCAATGAAGACTTTTGTATCCATTGTGACTATTCCGCCTCCTTTATGGTATAGGGTTAGGATTATGTTTTTATTCCTGGATAAGTTTTTAAGGTCAGTAAGTATCTACATTGTAATGTAGTTGCATTGTTATTTGTAACGATGGCTGCTGAGATACAGTGCATGAAATCTTTTCCAAATTCGGCGCGGTAGAATCTATAGATTATAGTTAATGTTAAAATAGTGTCATCTTTTCTTAATCCAGTGGCAAATTTTAAGCCAAGACTTTAATTCTTCGCTTTTCTGATAAAACGTTTGATATCAAACATGTTGTAAACAAAATTAGGGTTACCGATCTCTTTCTATCTACTGTGGGTGCATAAATAGTGAAACTTGTGTTTTAGTCGATTTATTTCTATTTTGTTTTCTTATTATATCGTTTGTCGCAGGATTTTCGGCTTTCGTGTTAGAAAAGATCTTTTAATTGCCATATATTTTGCCAATTGTTTCAACATTGTCATTAGCGAGCTTTTCGTGGTGTTTGAGTCCTTCTGCGTATGTAAGGAGGTAACCGTGGATGTATTTGGGGGAAAATACCTTTTGAGAACTTTAGTACTTTATAAGATCGTTTTGGAATATCATTTTCAGCAGTGCAGTTAAGTGGGAAATTTCTATCACTGAAGCGGTGGCGTTAGATTCGAATCCTGCGGAAGAGATCATATTTTATCTGATAAGATTTCTCGAAAAATTCAGGCTGGTAGACGAGAATAAATAAACGTCTATTCAAATACAATTATCCACTAAAAATAAAGTCTAAGTAATAAAAATCTTTTAGAATAATAAAAAAAAAAAATCCATCCCTTTCTTTAGAGATTGCTTGGTTTATGTTAGGATACGAAACGGAGCAAAAGTCAGAGAAAAATCTGTGTTTAAAAGCACTATTCTACTTTGCTTGGTTATCGACGCACTCCGTGGCCGAGAGGTCGAAAGTACCTCAGGGTTAAGGACGTTTTACCCTCGGGGAACGTGTGTTCGAATCCAGGTGGAGATCGCGTATTTTTCTCTAATAAGTTTTCTCGAATATTCAGGCACCTAGAGGAAAATAAATAAATATACCGTCTAATAAATAAACGGGGTGTTTACTCAAACATCCACGAAAAGTTGCGTTTAAATAATTAAAATATATCTGTCTGTATACGTCTGTCTATGAATTACACAGGGCCATATTTACATAGACGCTTTTCAAATGTGTGCATTTAATATGAGTGTGTGAAGGCATTCATTAGTGATGTAGTTAGGCATTCAAAGACGCAAGTTAGTAATTCGCATCGTGTTTTTTTATGTTTAAATTTATGTATGAAGTGCACAAACATTTGCATGTGTTTTTCATTAAACTGTATTTGCGTGCGTAGATTTGCATAGATTGTATTACATATGATGTGCATTTAAGTTTATGTTAAAGGGGACGGATGTACGACAAAAACAGTTTTCAAATGAAGAAGATAAACGAAGAAAAATAAGAACAAATGGAAAACGAAGAAAAATAATGAAAAAATAAAACTAACCTGAAGAAAAGAAAATGAAAAGAAAATTAAAAAAAATGAAAAAATTGGATAGTGAAGAAAAAGGGGAAAAAAGTAAAGAAAAGAAATGAAAAACAAATCAAATTGAAAATGAAGAGAATTGAAAAACTAAAAGAAATGAAGAAAAATTAAAAAAAAGGTACCAGAAAGAAATTAAAGATGCGTACGTGAAATAAGGAAAACAAAAAAAAAAAATGAATAAACCTGAAAACGGAGAGAAGAACAAAGAAACGGAAAAAATTGTCAAAGAAGAAAAAAGACATGTATGAAAAATAAGCATTAGAACGAAAAATAATAGGAAACAGTGAAGAATGAAAGGAAAGACGGAAGAATTAATTCTATGGCAATATTGAAGGAAAGTAGATATGAACTCTAAAAGTATTGAATTATTATAAGAAAAAAAACAAATGCAGCTCAAAAGTGAACACAAAAATAGAATGACCGTGAAAAGAGTAAATGGAAAGAAAGAAAGAAAGAAAGAAAGAAAGAAAAAAAAGAAAAAAGAAAGAAAAAAGAAAGAAAGAAAAAAAAAAAAAAGAAAGAAAAAAAAAAGAAAAAAAAAAAAAGAAAAAAGAACGGAAAAGAAAGAAAGAAAGAAAAAAGAAAGAAAGAAAAAGAAAGAAATAAAGAAAGAAAAAAGAAAGAAAGAAAAAGAAAAAAGAAAGAAAAAAGATAAAAAGAAAGAAAGAAAAAAGAAAAAAGAAAAAAGAAAGAAAGAAAAAAGAAAGAAAAAAGAACGAAAAAAAAAGAAAGAAAAAAGAAAGAAAAAAAGAAAGAAATAAAAAGAAAGAAAGAAAGATAAAAAGAAAGAAAGAAAGAAAAAAGAACGAAAGAAAAAAAAAGAAAAAAGAACGAAAGAAAAAAAAGAAAGAAAGAAATAAAAAAGAACGAAAGAAAAAGAAAGAAAGAAAAAAGAAAGAAAAAAGAAAGAAAGAAAAAAGTAAGAAAGAAAGAAAAAAGAAAGATAAAGAAAGAAAGAAAAAAGAAAGAAAAAAGAAAGAAAGAAAAAAGAACGAAAAAAGAAAGAAAGAAAAAAGAAAGAAAAAAGAAAGAAAGAAAAAAGAACGAAAAAAGAAAGAATGAAAAAAAAGAAAATCAGTAATGTAAAAAAGAATAAGAAAATCAAATTTAAAGAAGAAATATAATTTACGAAATAAAGAAAATAATAAAAATAGTTTTGAAGAAATGACAATAATAAAGAAAAACAAGTATAAAAATATAAAAACAAAAACAAATTTTAAAGGTATCAGAGAATTCCTTAAAAGTAAGAAGACATTTTGAAGGTGGTTAAGTAAATGCCTAAAAAAAATACTACGTCGTCATTAGTTTTAACTGAACATTTCAACATACACTTTGCAATCTATTTAATTAATCTTCATGAATAAAATTGTCTGTGATTGCAAGTTAGTTGTTGTTTCTTATAGAATAGTTTAGTAGTGTTTCGTAAATTGATATTTTTATTACTATTAATATTATTTGTTTTCATTTTTCAAATGTTAAATTTCTTAAGCAAGTATATCGACAGGGAAGTTATCGTTAATTGATTATACATAATCACAACTATACGCGAAATTCTAAGAAACCTAACGTATAGATAGATATCAACCAATTTGAAGCCATCACAAAGAACGGAAAACAGCGTCTGAAATTATCTCCACTATTATACACAAAAATAAAATCTTTAACAATGTACATTTATTATTAAAATGGGAGAGAAAGAAAAGAAGGCCGGAGCTTACAACGGCTGAAACGGCGTTGTAATTAAAATGAGGATAACAGTTCGAACGAGGTAACTACTTAAAATATTTACCTTACATCATCTCAGACATATCAACAAATATAAGAATTGCAACCACATCCAAAACTCTCTCTCTCTCTCTCTCTCTCTCTCTCTCTCTATATATCTATATATATATATATATATATATATATATATATATATATATATATATAAATATCCCTTTTTGTTTTTTCTACAGATATTTTAATAGCATTTTTTCTGACGAGATTTTCCTCTTTATTCTTCCACTTGTGGCATTTAAGTTCAATACTAGATTGGTTGTTAGTCATGATCATTTCACTGTTGAAATTGCTACTTGTAGCCACCATTCCTATTCTAATAAATTCTTGTTCCGCACGTCTCCCTTGTGGGACCGTCTTCCAATTTTCTTCTTTCCTGTAAACTACGGTCCAAAAATGAATCGCCTTCTTATGCCTTCTAGAATCCAGGTCTATTATTGTCCTTTCTGTTTAACTCACCCTCACTAACCCATTGTCTCTTAGTGACATTATTCGCTTCGCTTGACGAAAAAAAAAACAAAAAAAACTTAAAAACACAACTTTAATTAATAAAAAAAACAGAATCTGGACTTTTGTCAATTGGTTTAGAGTTTAGAGAGCGTGTCGAGCATTTTTCAGCAAAGCTTTGAACAGAAGAAGGTCACCATTGCATGAATATGATTATATAAATTAGAATTAACCGTCAAACAAAAAAAATAGAACAGACATGGGGAAATAGAGAGATTTAAGCAGATGAGGATATATATATATATATATATATATATATATATATATATATATATATATATATATATATATATATATATATAGATAGAGAGAGAGAGATAGATAGATTTATACAGACGAAGATAGAGAGAGAGAGAGAGAGAGATAGAGATTTATACAGACGAAGATAGAGAGAGAGAGAGAGAGATAGATAAATTTATACAGACGAAGATAGATAGATAGATAGATAGAGAGAGAGAGAGAGAGAGAGAGAGAGAGAGAGAGATAGATTTATACAGACGAGGATAGATAGATAGATAGATAGATAGATTTAAACAGACGAGGTTAGATAGATAGATAGATAGATAGATAGATAGATAGATAGATAGATAGATAAATCGATAGATACATACATACTTACATACATATATAGATTTAAACAGACGAGGATTGAGAGATAGATAGATAGATAGATTTAAACAGACGAGGAGAGATATATAGATAGATTTAAACAGACGAGAATAGACAGACAGGCAGATAGATAGATAGTTAGATATACTTAAACAGACGAGGATAGTATATATATATATATATATATATATATATATATATATATATATATATATATATATATATATATATATATATATATACCGAGAAATGGGAGGAGTTAGGTAGGAACATATAGACTAAGGTATATATTAAAATAGATAGATAGATAGATTTAAACTGACGAGAAATATACAGACAGACAGACAGACAGATAGATAGATAGATAGATAGATAGATAGATAGATAGATAGATAGAGAGAGAGACTTAAACAGACGAGGATAGTAGATATATATATATATATATATATATATATATATATATATATATATATATATATATATATACAGGCACTGAGGAAGGGAGAGAGCTAGGTAGGCACATATATACTAAGATATATGTTAACATAGATAGATAGATAGATAGATAGATAGATAGATAGATAGATAGATAGATAGATAGATAGATAGATATCTGTAGTCAGAAATATGTAGGAACGGATACAACGGTAGATAGAAATAAAGGAAAACCTATATATAAATCAGGATATATATATATATATATATATATATATATATATATATATAGCTAAAATGGAAATATTAATGTATAAATATCTTTGGAAATTCCATAATTGTATGAAGAGATAATATTTTTCCATATTAACTAGAGGACACAACCTTCAATAATACACCGTAGTGAATCATTGCGCGCTTTGGGGCAAAATCCAACGATACCCAAATTGTTCAGAATACAACAAAAATGTTTGATGCTCACATGAAATCATTAAACCGTTCAACCAAGCATCCATTATTTCATCTTTTCCTATTGCACCCTTCATGCTTTCATTTTACTACGCTACTCTCGATCTCTTCCCGACATACATTTCTCTCATTCACCATACTTCCGTTTTCCTATTATTCGTGTCCGCCATACTTTCTCTCTCTTTGCTTTTCGCGTCAACCACGATACTTTTTTTTTTTCGGCAGTTATCTTCATTTCTTCAACTGCGCTTTCGTTCATTTCTTTTGTAAAGATTGAAGAGAAATGATCAATAAAGTGTGTTTTTTAGCCCCAACCCAGGTGTCCTATTTGTAACGTGGATTCATTGGATATCTGTTCTTTTTATTCTTCCTTTGTTAAAGAAAAAAAAAATGGAGAGAAATATTTTCTTTACCAATTCTCAGTTCTCTTTTTATGTTCGTTTATTCCTGCTGCCTCGTGGAACCCCTCAAAGCAATATTTCTTTTTATATTGAAAGTACAACCACGCATATATATATATATATATATATATATATATATATATATATATATATATGATTCGGTGCTCATTTCTATATATGTATATAGTTTCTACGCTAATTCCTTTTGTGATCAATCTTTTGTACGCTGCTTAAGAAATATGTTCACTTGCTTGTGTCATTAGTGAACACCCGTAGGGTAACCTCTCTCTCTTTCTCACTCTTCCCCACTCTCTAATACTCTGAATAAACATTGCTTACTCTCTCGCTTTGATCTGTTCTCTTTCTTTTCTTCATCCTTATGTCCCCTTTACCATTGTTTTTAAAACAAGCAAGCATATGTATTCCCTTACGGTATAGAATTGTAAGAGTTCTATTTGTGTGTGTGTGTGTGTGTGTGTGTGTGTGTGTGGTGGGGAGATTATAAGATATCGCATATTACATCAAATAGTATCCAATATATAAACATCTTTCTATGTGTGTCTATGCATGGGTCTCTGTGCGAAATTTCATTTATAGATATGAATGTATATTTAGATATACAAATCCATTCAGACTATATACGTCGTTGAAAGTTACCAAAAATATAGCCTCTTCATGGATGAAGATGAGATCTGAAGTGGCAGTAATTCCGTTCTACAGAAGGATGTTGAGCCTACAATGAACATGTGAGTAACGACGAATTTTTAAAGAAAATAAAAACCAAAATATACTTAAATATCAGAAGAGAATGTTGAAAATTATATGGCACATAATGAGGAAAGGGTGCTTGGAAAATCTGATACCCAGATTTAAGACTGAAAGCACGGGGGGCAGAGGAAAGCAACGCTTAACCTACTTAATGAGCTTGTGTAAACGAATTGCTTCACACGTTTCACGTATACTTTCTTTTTTAACTCCTTTCTCACTGCTCTTTGGACTGTCATCGCTGAAACTTTTCTCACTTGGCAAACGTCTTATGATTGAAGTGGATCTTTTTTTAATTGATCGCTTTAGTTGAAATGATGATCTCTCTTCCCGTTGAGACCTCTTGATCCAGCTTTCCTATCAACTGTTTCATATTTTTTTTTAAATTATTCACTTTTCACTTGATAGTTTTTGAATAGATTTTGAAGATGGAAGCCAAAGTAGGAATGTTGGTACCCTCACTGAAGGCCAGTATGATCGTTTCACCATCTCCCAGACAGTGGGTTTGACACAAAACGATTTTAACCTGTTCTATTTTTAGCTGGTTATCTCAAAGCTTTTAAAGTTATGCGACAAATGGTATCAAGGTGGCTAAACGTCTTATCTGAAAACCTGCAAAAAGAATACTCCATTAGATTTTTTTTAGATATTAGACATTTTGTGGGATGGACAATTAAACTGTTACGCGAAAATTTCCAGGCTCTCTTTATTCATTAATTGTCATAGAAATTTCAATTGTCTCTTTCTGATCTTAAGTATAAGTGTCCTTTTCGTTTCCATTTCCTCTAAAACTTCTTCGTTGCTCACATGTTCGAACCATGGTATCCTCATCATCATCCTGTAAAGCTACATTTCTGTTGCTTCAAATCATCTGTGCGGTGATGGTTCAACATTCACTGCCATAGAGAAAGACTGATATTATGTAACAGTTCAGTCTTCTATTCTTTGCACCTAACGAATTTTTCCAGGTTTCTGGATACTTTACTTAGATTTTGAAAGGGGTCTTTCACTATTCCAATACGCATTTGGATTTCTATTGTCGCACTCTCCCTCCTGTTGTACAACTCTCCCCAGATATTCAAATTCATTAACAACCTGTAAAGCCACTTCCCCTCCTGCTACAGCTTTTTGGTGTTCTTGAAGCCTTACCTTAAGAGGTTGGCCTGTTACCCTTTATATTACTTTCCGCAGCTGCACGGGATGGCGTACACATCAGTCTTTATTCATGTTCGCCTATATGGGGAGGTCTTATTTGGGAGAGGTGTCTGAGAAGTGTCGTCTTTTGAAGGTCGTCCTGATGTTATATGGACCACATATCCTTTGTATCTTCTCCAATAACCCCTTCACACAAGGCAGGCAGACTGTTTTCTGAGTGCTGTTGTCCTCGTCTTGTAACCGCCCATCCCTATTTTTTGGAGATGCTGCCATGTACCCAGGGTAGTTGTTACATTGTTGGGTACTGCTTATACTGACCAATTCTTTATCTAATGTATATGACTTTTTCTCGAAGTTGTAAGCAGAAGACGATGCCTTTCTTTATGCTGTCTGGATGCTGGGAGTTGAAATTAAGGTACTGTCTAGTGAATGTCGGTTTCTGGTATAGGGATGTCTGTTCGAGATATTAGAATATCCAGGAATGGGAGTGTGTTGTTACTCTTTTTCTCCATCATGAACTGTATCGAATGTCTTATTGAGTTCACATTGTCTAGTAGAACCTGAACATCTTCCTGGTGTGGCCAGAGTACGAAGGAGTCATCTATGTACCTTAACCATATAGTTGACTTTAGAGGTATAGATTATAATGCCATTTCCTCAAAGTATTCCATGTATATATTCCCCATTGCTGGTGATAATGGCAAACCCATTGCTAAAGCCTCGTCCTGTCGATATATGTATGATCCCATTCCGAAATGTGTTGTTTATGTACAGAAAGTCATCATCTCCATCACATTATCTATAGGAATACTGGCCCGTTCTCCTAGGGATGAGTCAGAGGCCAATCTGTCTCTGACTACTGAGAGTGCCTCCTCCGTGGGTACCTTGGTGAACAAACTCAACACGTCCAAGCTCACCATCTGGTTGGATAGGATGGCGGCATCTTCGATTATTTCCACGAAGTGGGCGGAGTGTCGGACATATGATGGTGACTTTCCGATCAATGGGTGAATTATATCTACAATGAAGCGACTTAGAGGGTAGAACACCGAGCCTTGGCGACTAACAAATCGGCCTGAGCGGAATACCATCTTTGTGAATCTTAGGGAGACCATATATATCAGGTAGCTTGGTGTAACGCTGCGACATCTTAGGTGCGAAGTGATCCTTGTTCTTCATTACTATCTGTGACAGTTTGCGTTCCGTTTTCATTGTAGGATCCTTTTTAACTTTGCTGTAGCTAATATTTCTAATGAGGTCTCCCAGCTTTCTTGTATAATCTGATTTGCCCATCACTACAGTTGCATTGCCTTTGTTAGCCGGTAATATGATGATGTTTTCATTCCTCTGTAGGGATCTGATTACCAGCCTATGCAGTTTCGTGATGTTTGACTTGGGCGGCTTGGCTTTTCCCAAGGTCTGTCTCACCTTCCATCTTAGTTCATTCGCCTGAGCTTGAGGGAAGTTCAAGGCCATTTCCTCGATTTTGGCAATTATGTCCAAGTATGGTACTCGCCCGATGGCAAAGTTATTCCATACTGACTCTTCAGAATCACTCAGCTGATATTGGCTGATGTTGACTACTGCTTTCACTGGTGGGTGACGGATCGTGTGCGTCACCTTCTGATCTTTCAATCTATTTAATTTTTGTACTTGGCGAAACTTGACTACATCGAATTCAACTCTGAAGGATTTATCCAGGACATTTTGGATCTTTCTTCGGTCATTTTCATTGGTAATTCGACATTCCAACCACCTAAAGAAGGCCGGAGCGTACACCGGCCGAAAGTTTGTGATTAATATGGCAACAAAGATGAAGACAATAGTCCGAATAATGTAAATAGTTTACATAATATCGCATCTCAGAAATATAGACTGGCTGGTAATATTTTTTTCAAAAACTTATAGATGATAATTGTTTTTGTTTTTTTAATATATAGTTTGGTAAGTTTTTTTTTTACGGTATATCAACCTGAATGGGTTATTTAATGCCGACAAGATTTTTATTGCTGGTAATATTTTTTTTTTAAAAATATATTGCTGGTAATTTTTTTAAATGTATACTTATTAATTTTTTTTCAAAAGTGTATAGCTGGTAATATTTATTTTACAAAAATCTATTGCTGGTAATAATGTATTGCTGGTAATAATTTTTCTTCAAAGATTTATTGCTGGTAATAATTTTTTACAAAGTATTTCTGGTATTAAAACCTATTTTTACATTTTCCTAATGTTTTGAACCCAGTTTGGGTGTTAACTATTTACGCATACCTGGTACCCTAACAAGTGCTACCACCCTGGGTCAGGGTGGACCTGGGAACATCAGCAATCAAGAGGTGGTTCCACGCTCCTCGAAACCTGATCAGAGGACTTGCTGTTGGATGTAGTTTATCGTCTTGCCTAGGAAGCGTATCTAGTTTATTAGGGAGTATGAGGAAAATGCTCATCGGGAGAGAGAATAATACAAGACAGAAGATAACGATTTGAATTACATTTAAATTTTGAAGTTCAAAATTGGCCGGGAAGCAGGTAGACGGAAGTGATTCCAACAAGCGAAAAATATGATTGAAGGAATTGTTAGCAGAAATCTCACGGTTACATCTAGCCATTTTAACTGTAAAATAATGAGTTCTTGCTGCAACTCTAGTAGTGCACTTAAATTCATAAAGTCTAGGTACCATAAAGAAAAGTAATATTTATTTTGTTTTAATACAGAAATGTGGCACAAGGCCAAAAGAGGGGATAGGGGAAAGCTGGTGTTTATTCAGTCTTATCCTAAACTTAGCTATCCATAATTACTGACTCAAATATGCCACAGTATTCTTTAAACCAAATGAATAAATTCTTACTTACCATTCTTACTACTGCCACCATAATGCGTCAGAGTATTTATATGGTCTTAACTAGTTTCCATATATACAATACCTTTCTGAAGGAAATAACAAAATTTAAAAAAAGAAAACCCAATGTATATTTACAATGAATACAATTTATATAGAAAAAAATTAAACAAAATAGTGTTAGTAATAAAATCCTCTACAATCCGTAAATGTGGCAAAAAAACCAAAAAAACAAAACCAAAAAAAAAAAAACAGTTAAGTGGACGGAATTACTGCGGGACGATGTAATTAATTACAATTGTTCGACCGAGCACTTACTCTAACCCACAACCTTCCAAACACAAAAACAAATACGAAATACACAATCGAAAAAATGAAAAGCGCCCCGCATCAACCAGAGAACCGTCATCATAGAGGAAAGTACGTCAGAATAATTGCCATGAAAATATTTACAGAAAAGGCGAAGGAATGCTACATTACGGCTGTGGGAAAGTGTATGTCAGGTCTAGACAAATAACCTTGCATATTCTGATTTTGTCAAGAATCTCTAAATTGTCTAGCAGGGGCACCAGATCATATTTGGCAGCAATATTCCAAGTATTAATTACACGTTTTCTATGAAACATTTTTTCTACGTGCCTTAGATTTTTAAATTGCGTGGTGCGATGGATAAATTGTCGTGCAAATGACGCTAAAATGAAAATAACACTGACATCTCATTTTAAAAGATATATTTACTAAAATTACACAAAAAAAATATCTTGAAATACTAAAGAGTAAATTTAATCAGAAAAATCGCCATTGACTTCAACCAAGGCCTCGAGATGACGTCGGAATCTCCTGACTTCAGTTACCTCTTTTACGAAAGTTAAAAGGTGGACATAAGGCCAAAATTAAAAGTATTTTTTTTTTCAATTCTGAAATTATGCCCCCATCTTTAACTTTCAGAAAAGAGGTAACACTTTTCTGGACCTTACGAAGAAATTTTCCATATGCTTTGTATGTGTGAGCGCTTTCGGCTATACTTTTAGGGATTATCAACTACGAATTCAATTTTTACTTTTAAAATTGACTTAATAGTGGGTAAATGTATAGATAAATATATACAAAACATTTGGACAATTTACGTCCAGAAAAGAACCTTTTTAGAACACCTGAAATATTAAAAAAAAAAAAATAATGACAGTACCTTATCAATCGTTTTTAATGAAACTTGTATAAAAGAGGGATGTCTGCTCAAATACACAATTATATATATATAAAGAATTGGACAAGGTTCGACAATTTATTAAAGACATTTTTATGTTTAACATTTTTTTATAGATACAAGTATTTAAGTAAATGCTCTGTTTATAATAAACAGTATTAAATAACATTTACCGGCCTGAATGTCCGAGAAATTTTCATAGAAAATATTCGTCCTTTGACAGGATTCGAACCTGCATGCTATACGGAACCGTCATTTACGCTGACGTACCTTAACCGACTCGGCCACAAAGGAGCGTTCGGTAGGCAAGAATTTACTGCGTCTGTGTGTGTTGATAAATATATATATTATCCCTCACCAGTAGGACGACTCGGAGTTTCATGGACAACGCAATCTTTGGGTGCAGAGTATAGAACTATTCACCCGAAAGTTTGCTTAGTGCATAAAATCCGAGTCTTTCTACAAGTGGAGGATAATATGTATATTTATTAACATATACTTAATAGGTCGGTTTTATTACATCAAGCACTGTCTTATTAACACCAGCACCATATGGGATATATATATATATATATATATATATATATATATATATATATATATATATATATATATATATATATATATATATATATATGAGAACTCTTATGAAACGATTGAATCGTATTTTTAAATAAATAATTATATTTAGGCTCTACGTTTGTATCGAGCACTGTTTTTAAAAAATAATAACAAAAATACTAAAGAACTTTTGGATTATTTGGATTCTATTATATATATATATATATATATATATATATATATATATATATATATATATATATATATATATATATATGTCATTTGGCCACTTACAATGCTAACATTTATGGTGGTTAAGAATTTACACCATGCATACTTTTTATTCAGGATATTTGAACAAATGGCGGAAGCCACTGAATTATTTCAATGGAGAAGGAAACTGAACCTTGACGTCAGAAAATGCTTTTAACCTGTCTACGAATACGAACTTCTACGACATATGCAATGATTGGCATTTTTCTATAATTTATTGAAAACCGTTACTCTTACAAGATGTTTGGTATAAGTGACAGACACGGCGACCTGCATTCAATTCACTGATTCTTGTTACTGTCATCTTCAACATACAGACAACGAAATGGTAACGCTACAAAACTTATTGACGGCACGGACATGTCAAATGTACGGCATAAAGGCAATGTGCATAATAAAGAGTTCATTCAGTTCAAAGGAAAATATTTTTTTTTATCATAAACTGCAGTGCATTTCAGAGTATAACTATTCTATTTGTTGCAAAACCTTTGTCGGCTTTTGGTAATTAGTAATAATGTAAAGAATATCACATGTAGAAATCTATTTAGGAAATATGATTTTGGCAAATACTAATAAAGGTCAAGCAGGGAGTGCAATACATCTCTTAAGGTAACGTAAATTATCTCTGCGCATAGCATATGTGTTTCGGTCTGTCTGCCTATTTCTCTCTCTCTCTCTCTCTCTCTCTCTCTCTCTCTCTCTATATATATATATATATATATATATATTCTACATATATATATATATATATATATATATATATATATATATATATATATATATATATATATATATATATATATATATATATATATAAACACACACACACACATATATATATATATATATATATGCGCAGGAGACAAGATGATTAAAAAGAGACAAGAAGAAAAAGTATTCTCAGCGGAATAGTTTTTCCTATCGTCCATTTTTATTCACACACACACACTCTCTCTCTCTCACACACACACACACACACACACATATATATATATATATATATATATAGATATATATGTATTATGAAGTAACTAGTTTAAAATATGTTTTTTTTCGCTACACATTAATAGCCATGTTTCAAAAATTTAATTTTGTAATTAAATTAAGAACATTAGGTCCATTTCATCCTCAAGCGAACTACTCTTTCTTTAAATAATATATATATATATATATATATATATATATATATATATATATATGAGTACATGTACCTACGTTTTGGCGTGTGGGCTCAAGTTTCGCTGAATTTCAGCCCGACGATCAGCAATTCAGCGTAACATTGGCCTTGATATATATATATATATATATATATATATATATATATATATATATATATATATATATATAGTGCTGGTAATCGATCCGTTGGTACAGAGAGCTCGATGTTTTTTATTTTACCAGAGCATATATCTGGTTTCAAAACTACGGGTCATGACCCATTTATGGAAAATAATTTCTTAGTTTTTGCTTCTTCCCTTACTTTAAATTTACTGTAGGTCAAATTTGATTGGTTCATCGAGTAAAGTCCACAAACCTTATAAACACCCACCTCTTTTTTGTTTTTTTTTCTTTTTCGTAAAAAGAGGCTGTATTTTGCTTTTAAATCTTTTTAACTCGTTCACTCGCCAGTCATTTACAATTGCCTGAGGAGATACGTTGTATGGGCATTGAAACACCACTGGAAATGTTTTCGATGTAATATCCTAAAATAAATATATATATATATATATATATATATATATATATATATATATATATATATATATATATATATAGCCAATATCGATGATCATACAAATATTAAAAACTTACTTGTCTACATTTCGGAGATGAGGTATTGTGATTATTTGCTTTATATACATTGTTCGGAATGTTGTTTCGAAATTACAATCACCTGAAGAAGGCCGGTGTGTACAACGGTTGAAACGTCAGGAATATTGCAACAAAAATGAAGACAATGTAAATAGTGTACATCAAAAAGTTCAATTTTGAAATGAGAAAACAGTTAAATCAAAACCTCATATAATTTAAGATAAATACATAAATTACTTTCTCAAATTAAAACAAAATATTCTGTCTTTTTATGTGTGTGTCCCTTCAGGGCGTAGGCGATCATGGCTCTCCACTTCCTCGTATCCCTTGTAGCCTCTGCCACCTCCACCAATCCAGGTTCTGTCATCCACTTGCTTAAGCCCGCCAGGTATGTCATGCGTTGCTTTCCCTTGTTTCCCTCTCCCTCTATTCGACCCGTGAGTATCAAATTCTCCCTTCCTCATTATATGTCCCAGAAAATTTAGCCTCCTTGTTTGCATCCTCTCCAAGACCTCATCATTGCTCATACAGTCGATCTATCATATCGTTAGCATTCTTCTGTAGAAGCACATCTTCGTCATCTCGAGACTCTTCTTATATCTTTGAGGAGACCGTCCAATATTCGCTGTCATAAAGGAGGATAGATGTCACGTAACGGCTCAGTACTCTTTTCTTCATTACCAAAGAGAGTCTCCTGTCTCGTAAAACTCATTGGCCATCCCAATAACTCTACTGATCTTAGTGTTGCCGTTCTCTGTCAAAATACACCAGAGATACCTAAACTTCCGCACCTTCTTGATTTTAGTGTCTCCGACCTGTAAATCGCATTTAGGGCTCATCCTTTTACTGATGACCATGCATTCTGTCTTCTTATAGTATATGCTTAGTCCCTTCTTCTCACTCTCCATCGCTACCTCCTGTAAGGTTTTTGTAATTTCTTTTCCGTGTCTGCTAACAGTACTGTGTGATCTGCGTATCTTATGTTGTTAAGATTGTGGCCACTAATGCTGAATCCCGGTAGGATTTCTAATTCTCTCCGAATTGCTTCGCTGTGTAGGTTGAATAGGTCCGGTAAGAAGACACATCCTTGCCATCCCGATCCTTTCTATTTTTATATTTTCGTTGAAATGGTTTCCTATGCGCATGCATGCTGTTTAACAGAATTTCAATGACAACAGCAACAACATTTAGACTCTTTCTTTTATTAGACATTAAACTACATCTCTTCTGAACTGGCAACCTTGTAGTTTACAGTTATCTTTAAGAATATTTTGGACCTTCTTTAAATTTAAACATTGAATTGAAAACCTAATGATATTTTACTGCTGTTTATAAATAATTGTTGCACAATAATAGCCTTACATTTATCCCTGATTAAGTTCATCAGAGGACAAAACGTGACGGTAAAGAATACTCTTCCTTTTGACTTTATTCAAATTGTCTTATTACGGATTGTTTTTTTTTTATATTTATAACTGAATGTTCGTGTGCCTGTATGTGCGTATATATATATATACATTCAGTTATAAATATAAAAAAAAAACAATCCGTAATAAGACAATTTGAATAAAGTCAAAAGGAAGAGTATTCTTTACCGTCACGTTTTGTCCTCTGATGAACTTAATCATATATATATATATAGATAACTAGACTCGTTTCGAAAACCCTCGAATTTTTGATTTTTGAGTTTTTGCCAAACTTTCCCTGACGATCAATTTAGGTGAAACCTAGGTAGGTTTGTCTGGCTCACTAGGTGTATCTATCTATCTATCTATCTATATATATATATATATATATATATATATATATATATATATATATGTATATTATGAATAATATTGTCTTATTACGAATTAATTTTTAGAGAAAGAACAGTAAGATATATAATTCAGAGTTCTTATTAAAAAAGAGTGCTCAATGCAAATCTACAGACCACAAATATTGTATTAAATTAAAGCCCATAGTTCTGTCGATTTTTCAAGAGGATTTTGGAACTAGGTACTTTAATTTGATAATTGAATTTGTAGTTTTTAGCTTCTGTTTTGGAAACATGGTAATTCCAGTGTAGCGATGGAATATATATATATATATATTATCGTTTGTTTGGAGGTTATTTGAAATAGGACGGAAACATGGTTGCTGTTGGTTTACTCTTCGTCAAAATGTTTTTTATATCATTAACTGATTTGTTAAAGTTGTGGACGAGTAAAAGAAATACAATAAACGGAAAGACTGATCTAATTTATCAGAAAAGGCAATAGACTCCCCTATACATACGCATACACATACATATGTGTGTCTCTGTGTCTGTGGATGTGTGAATTTACCTGTCTTTATATTTCTCTAGTTATTTGTCTATTTCTCTTTACACACCAAACATACAAATAGACACACACACGCATGCATATATATATATATATATATATATATATATATATATATATATATATATATGTATGTATGTATGTATGTATGTATGTATGTATGCGAAACAAATTCTAGGTACAACAAACAGAAAATCTGTAGAATTTTGGTACATGGCACGATTTTTACTGAGAGGATTTTTGCTGGTTGTAATTTCGAATGAGTCGAGAAAGATTTGACAGGGCAATTAGTGTCAGGCGTCGAGAAACAGCAGATGCTGGTCAGAGGTAATTGTATTCTTTGGCAGGTGTCAAAAGATGGAATATATTTATCCGCGTGGCACATAGAAAAAGCAAATACTGCATGTTCTCAGAAAAATAATAAGAATATATATATATATATATATATATATATATATATATATATATATATATATGTGTGTGTGTGTGTGTGTGTATTCTTTAGTTATCATAAATCCTGTAAAAACAAAATTAGGCTGCTCAAAAATGCAATGACTTTCTTAAATTTGTATTCTATTTTTCCATTTTACAATAAAAATACATTTACATTTACATTTTACAATAAAATTAAAGAAATTCATGAAGAATGTGTCCGAAATCCATGTTATTATTCGAATGGGTTTGCTTAACATCTTTCATTATCAATAATGCAAATAGTTTTTCAGCGACATAATGAGTGTTTGGCATTTGCTTTATCCTGCCATTAAATTTTAGTGTGTTGTATATTGACGCCATACGTAGAACGTTTTCATAGAGATGGAAGTGGACGAAGGTATTAAATACTAGCAGCATGGCCCAGCGTTGCCCGTGCTTGATTCAAAAATCGTACGACTCCTACAGCAATCGCTATCACTTGACTTAAAATATTGCCTTTAAAGGAATGCCCTTTGCCGTGCTGATGTTGCTACATTCCTTACTTCTTGCCTGTCTCACACTGCGAATTTTTTCTAAGCTCTATACGAAACATTAAATCTGTTACAAAAAAAGAACTAAACAAAATGAACACAAAACGATCAGCTTTATAAAGGACTCGTAACTGGATAAACCGAATGAAAAAAGAATGTTAGTAAAAATTACTTTTTCACACCCAACCCAGTTCTGCGGAATC